GAACCAAGGAGGAAATGGTTTGGGGTCAACGCTTCGCTTGCCGATGTTTCAATAGGAATATAGGTGAGGGGACGTATGTTGACAGTGGACTCAGCCTCTGCCATCGCCGCGCGTAGGATCTCTTCGCGTACACACCTTCGTGGTAATATATTCATTAAAACCGATTTTATGGAACGTACCATGCGCTCCCATGCACCACCCATGTGCGGCGCAGCTGGCGGTATAAATACCCACTCTATATTTGGATATTTTTGCTCGACCTCAGTGACAGCGATCTTTTCAATTTCGTCTGCTAAAACGCGGCTGGCACCACAAAAGTTTGTTCCGTTATCCGACAAAATGCGCCACGGTACACCTCGTCGGCTCATGAACTGCTTTAGGACTAGCAGAAATGAGTCTGTGGAGAGAGACGGTGATATCTCTATATGCACGGCACGTACGGTCATACAGGTGAACAAGACACCCCAGCGTTTTTCGTGTCGTTTGCCCACAACAATATCAAACGGCCCGAAATAGTCAACGCCCACGTAAGCGAATGGACGTGTAAATGAGGCCACACGCTCTAAAGGAAGTGGTCCCATTTCAGGAATATTGGGCGCAGCTCGACGAATTTTGCATTGCTGGCACATCTTGGCCACTGACCTTACAAGCGTTCTCAACCCTGGAATACAGAAACGCTGCCTTAGTTCGTTCACTGAGATTTCGCTGAATTGATGGCGCAATTTTCGATGGTAAAAATCTACCAGAAGAAATGTAACACGGTGATTTCGAGGTAGTATAATCGGCCGCTTAACGTCCATTGGCACTCCTTCCACTGCGTCAATTCGTCCTTTAACGCGCAGCAACCCGTTGCCATCTATATAAGGCGAGAGCTTAAAAATTGAACTTTTGCGATTTACCTTAGCAACGCTTGATCTTAACTGAAGAAACTCGTTTGCAAAGGATTCCTCCTGATATTCGCGGAAAATTAATTTCTCCGAGCTTTCGCATGTTTTGTCATCCAAGAAAGTTTTCATTGTAAGATTTCTTGCGCCCAGCTTCATAATTTTGCGTAGAAAGCTAAATACGCGCATTTGAGCGCCTCGCAGCCTTTCCCACTTACTGAAACGTGTCGGGTCTGGTGAGCATCGATTAGTATACTCCGCTCCTTCGGAGATGTGGTGAACAAACTCAGTCCCCTCCTCGTGAGATTGGCTGAACTCTGAAACAGGCCAGCAACTTTCGGGCGAACGAGGAAATTCCGGCCCAGAAAACCATCTCATGTCACTGCTGAACTGCATGTTGCCATCCCACTTCGTACCATCGTCAGCAACGTTGAGCTTTGTAGGGACCCATCGCCATTCATCCACCTGCGAGTCTTGAAGGATTTCACCGATACGTACAGCAACGAACTGGTTAAATTTTCTAGTATCGGAGCGTATCCAATACAGAACATCCTTGGAGTCGGACCAGAATATGCGCCGACAAACAGAAATCGATAGTTCGCCCTTGATGAAGATGGCTAAGCGCAACCCCAAGATGGCCGCCATTAATTCCAGCCTCGGTACGGATATGGGTTTTAGAGGTGCTACGCGTGTTTTGGAGGCCACTAGGCTACAGTGAAACTCGCCATTAAATTCTGATCGCAGAAATGCCACAGCTGAATAGGCCGCTATGCTTGCATCTACAAATACGTGAAGCTCAACGCGGTTACTGCAGCTCGCACACCGATAACATCGGGGCACTCGTAAACTACTCAGCAGCTGAAGTTTTTGCACCCACTTCCACCACTCGGCACGTTCGGCAACATGTATTGGTTCGTCCGAAAGCACGCCGGACCGCCAAATGTCCTGCAATATCATTCTAGCTTTGATGACAAAAAAATCCCACTAAGCCCAGTGGGTCAAATATCTTCATAACGGCTCGCAAAATTTGGCGCTTCGTCGGATGGCTTGTTTCTTCGAAGGAAGCGTCGAATTTCTGAACGAATAACAACTCGTCTGTGCATGGGCGCCACCACATGCCAAGGACCTTTTCAATCGCGTCATTAGCCTCCTCAAAACTCTTATCGGCTATCTCAGTTTTACCGGACAGGGAAAGTAGAACTCGCTTCGAATTCGATAACCAGTTTCGCATTTCGAAGTCCCCTTCGTTGTGAATATGCCGCACGGTGGTTGCAAGTTGAAGCATTTCGTCCTCAGATTCAACGCTTTGCAACCAATCGTCCACAAATGTGTTTTACGTAATGGCATTGACTGCAGTGGGAAATCTGTGTATGAATCGTTTTGAATTTTTTCCTTCACATAGTTGGCGAGGAATGGTGAGCAGGATGCCCCAAAGGTCATGACAACCATCGAATATACTTCTGGATCTCGAGTTGTGTCACCGTTTCGCCAAAGGAATTGCTGTGCTATTTGGTCCTCTTTCACCACTCTGATTTGGTGAAACATTTCTCGGATATCACCACACAATGCCACCGGCTTTTCGCGAAAGCGTATGAGGATACCCACCAATGATTTCAAAAGGTCGGGTCCTTTTAAAAGAACGTCGTTTAAAGAGGTTCCCTCAACTTTAGCGGCTGCATCCCAAACTAGCCGAACCTTGCCTTTGTTTGCGTTCATGACGGTGAACATCGGTACAAACCACGACTTGCCTCCATTTGAAACCTCACATGGTTTTAACCTTTTTACATAGCCTTTAATTATGTAGTCTTTTATTCGTTCTAAAGGTAATCCTTTAAGGCCGCGTTTTTATTCATTTTCTTCTCCAAACATTCGAGTCGCTTGCGAGCCATAGCATAGGAGTCGGGTAAATCGACATGGTCGTATCGCCACAAGAGGCCCGTTTCCCACCTTTTCTCATGCGCGATATATCTGGTCGTTTTTTCCATTATTTTGAGAGCCCGCTCATCTTCTGTTGAAACTAAAGGCTTAACATATGGGCTAATTCCAACCGCCTCGAAAGAAAAGTACGAGCGCATCAGAGTGTCCAAATCACTATATTTCGTACAGGGGCAAATGTGCATTAAGCGCGCCTCCGTCAATTGTTCGCGGCCATCTCGACCATAAACCGACCACCCTAGTTTGCAACGCGTAGCAATCAGGCCGTCATCTTTGCTCTCACGAATTTCTAAAGGCAGGCTAAGCTTGGCATGGTCCAAACCAATAAGTATTCCTGCTTTGCACTCTGAGTACGGTAAGATCGGCAGCGACTTCAAGTGTTGCCGCTTCTCAATGACATTCATTTGGAGCGATTGTTGCGGGAGATCCAAATTGGCGAGTGTACGGAC